GAGATTAAGGGCCAAACAATGGAGATGGGGAAATCAAGAACTCCCCATCACTATTTACCCATAGAGAAGATATCGCTGACACCCGAAATTCAGAAAAAAAGAAAGAACATACGCAAACACGGTTTCCTCAGCCGTGTTGATCGAAGGGGAAGGAAGTAGTGAGCCTACGGAACTCGGTATAAATGACAACTAGTGTTTGTTGTGGAAAAAGTTGACCCGAAACGGACGACATGGTAGATACGCTGGACCAACGCAGGGCCATATCTGATTTGGTAGGCGTTATCAGATTGCGCAGCATAAAAATGTCAAGATTTTGGGATGCGGTGCCAGACCCGGCAGACCGCAGACGACGCGCACACTGGGAGTCCTGCCGACCCCTTTGTTGCTGTCAGTCAGAAACCTGGCCATTTGCTGTGTGGACCAGGGGGTTAGACTGCAGCGCAAAGTTGCGGGCTCAACCGCGCCATCCACCCACACCCTCTTCGTCACCGATCCTCTTAGCTTTATCTTGACTTCGGATCCAGGCGGTGAGGTAGGAAAGAGTGTGGTAGGTGCTGTGCTAGTCTACATTTCTATAAAGAAATTCACGCACAAGTCACCGTCCCTGCTTCCCCTTATTGTGGAACGCACGGTGGACGCCGTCTGCAATGACGGTCGAACTGTCGGTGCGAGAAAAGGGTAACCAGACGGGATCTAAAAAAGCAAAAAACGCCTCAGAGCAACTCGAAAGACACAGACTCCAGATAAGGGAACGAGAGTTGGGAAAGTCGCAAATAAAAAGCAAGCCGCCGTAAATGGCGGATAGTCAAGAGACCGCAGGTGGCGCGGACTTATACTGTAGTGGCGGTACACCAGGTAGTCGTGGCAACGCCACGCTTCTCGTCAGTGCCTGCACGTACGCACCAGCGATAGTTTGCTTCGACACGCACGCCTGGTTGCCCTCGACTTGTTTTGCTGCACTTCTGTCGGCACCACAATTGTGGTCGATCCTTCGCCTCCACTACGCGAGGCTTGTCACTAACCTCGCGTGGGCTTAGAGCCAATCGACGCAGCCCTTTCGTTGATTGGTGTCACAGGTGGATACAATAGACCAGTGGCGTAAACAACTTACCCGGACACTCTCGTGGCAGCAGTTTTCAGCGACACACGAGGACGTCGCTCTGGTGAAAGCCGCTTCGTGGCGTTGGACGCATACTCGCCCGGCAACCAACTTTCTTCCATCATCATGTACAGAACCAAATCCTCCTCCCAAATGGTATCCAGCCCTACTGCCTTCTTGACGGGAACCAGGCCAAAAGATCATAGTGGCTAGCGTAACATGGTATGTCTTTAGCTGTTGCTATTATATGTTAGTTTTGCCCACTTACACCTTACTAAATCACAGGAAGATAGTAGCCAAGATATCTGTGATGAAGTTTTAACACTCAAGAATAAACCACAAGGCTCTCCAGTTGATCGCAGCAAATTCGTGGACCTAAACGGCAGGCCCGAGTCTTCTTCCGACACCTCAAATAGCAGAATACATCATTGCACAAATGTTCCACCAGTATCTCAAATCACACTTAACAGGAGAAGGGAAAATCACTGTATCGAAGACTTTCAGGATGGGACGAATAAAAGACTCCAGCAATCAGTCAGATCGCCAAGACCAGTAAAAATTGTCTTCCAGAATGAGGAACAAGCGCAGCTACTGTTCGAGCACCCAGCAGTTTTTTTCAGCGAGACTTTTAATCCTCGGAGAAAGAGAAATGGTGAGCGCTCAAAGCGAGACTCTTCATGGGGTCGAGTCTGAACCAGAAAAATCATAAAATACGGAACGGGAAAATTATACATGTCGAGAGGCCATTCCTCGGGAAGAAACCTATAACCCTGACAGTTTGGGTGTAATGTACAGCATTCCACCTCGATTATTTCCGGCCGGCTTTTGCATTTAGTCCCATGGAATGCACAGACGCCTGTATACCATAAATACTCAGGCCAAATTGTATACTGATACCCGTTTCAAAGACAGACGAACTCAAAGCACTAATTTCATAATGAAACCCCGATGTCATTGCTATGACGGGAAAATGGCTAAAAACCGCAATCATGGATGCCGAGATTTTAGATGCAGGGCTACCTGGCCCTTTGCAGAGACCGTCAAGAGAGAAAGGGCGGTGGGGTACTCATCTATGTTAGGACAGAAATTTCGGCAGTTGAACGAGGCCACACCCTCTCCCTAGAATAAGAATTGGTCTGGGAAGAGACAAAGAAGAGCAACGGAAAAATCTACACTTCCTGACGGCTTACAGACATTCTGAACGCAGCAGACGAGTCGCTACTCCATTTGGTCAATTAAGTGGATGGCCACCAAGAGGTTCTTATTACTGGGGATTTCAACGCACCTGCAATAGATTGGGGAAGTATGACATTTTACGGTGCGCCAAGATCCTTCATCTGTCAGCTAATGGACCTCACACTCGACCTCCCTCTGGCACAGCATGTAAGGTCATCAATGAGATTTAGAGAGAACCAGAAAGCCATTTGCTTGGGCCTAGTTCTTACGAAAGACTTCGCTAATATTGACGAAGTGTATTTCATTGCATTTCTCGGAGGCAGTAACCATACTACGCTACTGTGGGATTCCTCGCTTTTCTCTCAGTGCCAGAAGAGATTGGAAGACTAACCTACTATATGGACGGCAGATTTTAACATGATGAATAACGGATTGATGTGCGTGAATTGGTACTCTTTGCTCCGGGGGGATTGAGAGGAAGACTGGATATCAACTAAGACGATTTCACTCCACCTAATTCGGCGTTTTCGCCCCGCAAATGTGCAAAGAACGACGAGTTACCCTCCCTGATGAATTAGAGACCTAAACAGACAGTGAGGGAAAAAATAAAAACTGGAAGATATTCAGGGAAAATGGGTCACCAGAGCACGTCGAGGTGTTTGGTCGTCAGCGAAATATAGTCACAAATAGCATCCGTCACAGAAGGAAGGAATATGAATAGAGAATCATCCGACAGGCTAAAAAAGCCCACAACTTTATTCCACTATACTAACAGTTAAATGAAAAACATGGACCCGGTTGCAGTATCAAAAGATGATAGTGGTGTAGAAAAAGCCTAAAACGGCGAGAAATCTGAACAACTTGTGATTGTACTTTGCCTCGGTTTTCACTAGGGAAACGGAGTTTCTGAACCACAATGGCAGCAATGTTTTTGTAGTCGGCGGTCTCGTGCCTGAAGCCTTACTCCTCCTGACACTTGTCATGGAGAGGGACGCACAGAATGCTAAAAATGTAAAGCCGTCGGGTCCGGACAATATACCGGCCAAATTCTTGAAGGAATTGGCACACGCATTCTCCAAACTCCTAGCACACACCTTCCATTCGTCATTCGAATTGGCAAGGTGGAATTCGAATTAACGGCAGCAAATATCTAGCCGGTACACAAAGATGCGGTTAGTACAAACGCTAACAATTACCGGCAAGTCAGTCTCAATACCATTTGCTGTAAAATAATGGAAGTCATACTTCACAAAGACCCAATGAACTTCCTGACGGAGAACCACTCACTCCCAGGGCTTCAGCACGGCTTCAGACAGAACTGGTCATGTATTTCCAGTTTATTGCTCCCGACCGAGCAGGGGAAAAACGCACTGGATGAGGATGGCAGGGTCGATGTCATGAACACGGATTTCAAAAAGGCGATTGACAGTGTCTTACACAAACGCCAACTGTACGAATTGTCCGAAATTAGGATAGAAGGAAAACTGCCGACACGGATCGTAGATTCTGCTGCAGGGAGATCACAAACCGTGTGTATTGATGCCTTGAAGTCAACGTCTACCACCGTTATAATAGTGTACGCATGACACACTCTTAAGACCGTTGCTATTCCTGGTTTACATTGGCGATTGCGTCAACGACTTCGGGTGCCGCACCATCATGCGTACTGACGATGTTAAATTGTAGATAACTATCAGATCTGACGCAGACAGGCATTCGCTTTAAGAGGGTCTTAACTGACTGAGTAGTTGGTCAGCTTGTAGACTCCCAAATGTTAATGCAGACAAGTGTGTGGTCCTGTGACTCCACACCAGAGAGACCAGTAAGAAAGATTATCCCGTTCGATACCTCCTCGATGAGCAGTTCCTTCCAAAAGTTGGAGTGCAGAAGGGATCTTCTCCCTTAAACGATCGTCACAGTTTCGAAGGGCAGCCAATCGCTCGATACGGGTTTTATTTGCGCTGAGGCGAAAACATGTGCATATCGATATGGAATTGTTCGGAAAAACCTGCGCAACATTCGTTCGGGCTAACTCAAAGTATGCCGTCCAGGTCTGAAGACCGTGGCTTAAGAAGCATTATCAACGGCTGGAAAGATTATAGGCGAAGGCTACGAAGATGACCAAGAATCTCGGTCATCTGCCTTACGAAACCAGGCTGGCCGAAGTAAATCTGCTTCCTCTCAAGTACACTTAACGCGCTGCGATCTCATTCAAACCTGCTGGATTGTCCGATGCCATAAGTGCGCACTAGACTTTGATGAATTCTTCGAACTGACTGGGACGGACAGTATGTGTAGTCATCCCTTTAAACTGCAGAGGAAGCTGGCCCATAGGGACGTTCTACGGAACGCCTCCTCGCAGAGACTCATTGGAGCATGTAATGGACGCTCTGACGCGGTGTTTCTTTCCGGAACTGTTGAATCCCTTAAACGCAGACTAGACGCCAATTTTACGAGAAACTGCTGTACATACAATCAGTGACCGGCAGTTTGCGCCTGGCTCACACTTACCGTTATTTTCTGAATTTCCAGATTTGCTAATATAACGATTGATTATATGCCTTTTTGGTATGAATAGGGAGCTCAAGAGCGAGAGCCTGATCCCTGTAGTAAACTGACCGACCTACCTGTTTGTTTTCACAGTTAATTTGAAGCTCTTCCTCTTGGTTTCGTGGTTGTTAGGGTAGTATTTTAACCTTGGTGGTGTGTTGCCGTTTTCTCCTTAATGCCCTCGTCTGAGGTAACTGTTTATGGCTTTAAGACACTTTCGCGTGCAGATGTCAGTGGTTGAAAAATCTTCTAATGGAGAGGTGCAAAAACGGAACTCAAAATATGTCAGGTTGGAGTTGGGAGAACTGACGCCACATAACATAAAGCAGTTGCGGATAATCAATCGCACAGTCTTCCCCGTTCTTTATACCGAGAAGTTTTACACGGATCTGCTGAAAAGGCCGAAATTCTGTCGTCTAGCTTATTTTAATGATATCGTCGTTGGTGCCGTCTGCTACAGAATCGAGAATCCAACGGGTAATGACAACTCTACCTCAAAGAAATGCTACATCATGACCCTCGGATGCTTGGCGCCCTATCGTAGACATGGGATCGGATCTATGCTTTTGAAACATGTCTTGCACAAATGCAGAAGGAATAGCCAAATCAAAAGTGCCTATTTGCATGTTCATATCGAAAACGAAGAAGCTATAAAGTTTTATCAAAAGTTCGGTTTCGAGGTTGCCGGACGCGTTGAATCGTACTACCACAGGCTCTCGCCACAGGATGCCTTCATTCTTGAAAAGCAAATAGACCATTCTGAGCCAGTTAGTTCTTCGGATTCTGAATAAATTATTTTGTATATGGCTCCGTTTTGGTGGTACCTGCGCCTGCCTATTCATCATTTGACGTGTAGCCGATTGCAATGTACCGACACTAGGTAGGCCTCTTTAGCTGTTTCGGTGACTGCTAAGGTGATCTCCCTTGATACGGCCTCTGGTTGCATGCTATTCTTCAGGGCCTGGGTGGATGTATTTTGGGGTTTTGCACTTCAGTTTTCGCTCCATCCTGCCTCTGCTTTCATTTTGATGACCTCTGGACTCACCACAAGCTCCTCGCTGGCCTTTCAGTTTAGTTACCATTCTCAACTTATTTTAGCCCTTCGCACTATCATAAGCAATGGAGTTCGTCGATGCCAAGAACCCCTGTTTCGATGCAGTCAAAGAAAGGCTAAGGACTGACAGCGTCATGCCATAGCATAGCACTGACATTCTGTTTTTAAAACGAAACCATGACCCTCAAGTTTGCGGCTGCAGTTGAAGGGTTGCTCAAAGGAAGAAAACAGTTGCTGCAACGTCGCTTTAGTTTGTGATGTCTTTTAAGGTCAGTAAATGGTCTGATTATCCTCCTGTAACCCCGAATATGCATATTCATGGTCCGCGACTAATTCGTTTCCCAGGGCTCCAAGTCCACAGCTTCCTGTGCGGCTTCGGTATGTCTCACTCGCCCACTGTCGTGCGCTCCGGTAACCGTAGTCAAACTAGCTGCGGATAGCCCTCATAGGATCTGCTTTTCGTCAGTCAGAATAACAGTTTGCCGAAGCCGGGTAGTTTGAAAATAATTTCCCTAGTGACCTGCTCATCTATGTAACCGAAAGCGCTTCGATGGTGTAGAAGGTAGACAGCGTGTAAAATACGAAAAACTGTGGGGCAGTCACTCCTCATGCGTGCTTTTGGTTTGGGGAAGATTGAGATATTGGATAGCACCTGCTTTAAAATAATACTACAGGTTTGCCTCACGGCCCAAGTCTCCAATGTGGAACTCCACCGTTGATCGAAACACCCACGGTAAAGGTTTGCTGTTTAAAATATTCCGATCGCACACTATGTCCACCCGGCGGGTGTTTGATCGCGAAATCATCTTTTAGAACACTAGTCGTTTAGCACGTCACCTTGGTTGGCTTAAACTTGGATTAAGGCAGACGTGGGTGTTGCGTAGCCCGGCGCTATTTGGGACAATCGGAAATTTATTAAGTCCATCTGGTGATCACACGACATGAACTCCATCGGTCTGTGATGTCGTGGACAGGAACCGGCCGAACCATCATTAGTACTGGCGGACCAAGGTATAAACACTAAGGTGGGGTTGACGTGGATGAAGGCATGAAAGTGTAGAAGCTTTTTTGCGGGTTCGGAAACTCCAATAAACGACAGCCTAGGCAGTTCAGACCATTTTGAACACTTCTCAAAGGATACTTTTAGTCTACAAGTTCGCACCAGAGGCAGCTCGCTGGATGATCTGGTCGTCCTGATTTATGCAAGTTCGACATCGAAGTAAAAGTTAGGGTTGCTGCTAGGGTGATGAGGCTTCCATCCGTTTGCCCTGAGATTTCATATACTAATTAGACACCAACCCTATCATTTGCTTCTTGAGTATATGCTTGGCCACTAGTCTGACCTTGCATCCTGAATACTCAAGAAGAATTGGTCATCTGGATTTTATTCGGACAAGCCTCTGGTACAAGGGAGACTAACGACCAAAAAGCAATCCTCTCTGAGCTGGAATCTCCTGGAACTCGACATCACTGCCGTGCACACCAAACGCTTTACCGCTTGACAAGCACTTTGCCTTGCGTATTTGTCCAAGAACCAAAGAAAGAGAGCTCCTTCAAGAGTACTAAGTAGTATGTCTTTTTGGTGACCTTGCTAACATTAAGAAATACTGCGTCATCACTCCCCTAAACAGCATGGAGCCTTCTACCGGTGGTTTCCGTTGTAGACGGCTGATTGGTAGGACTTAATCTGCATTTGAGAAATCGACAGAAGCAAACAGTTAAGGGTCTTGTTGAAAATGTGCTTAGTCTGCGACACACGATGCTTTTCAGAATTTCACAGCACGCTGCTGGGGCGAGTTAGCAGCATTCATAAAACACGAAGATGCTGGGGCTTTCATGCGATCTATGGCGTGCGGAATATTGACCGTTTCAGACTTTCATATGGGTTTTCCGAAGCTATCTAGTCTGGCACGAGTCTCATCGTCTGATCAACTTATGTTAAGGAGATCCTAACAGGTGGGTACCTCTTTAGCGTCGCAACCGTCTGGGCATTTGACCCAGTGTTTCGCAAATTTTTGATTTGTTTTCCGAGATTGTTCCACCTTTACCCAGTTTGGCTATATCAGTTCGCGTGCCAGCGGTAACACGTTACTGTAACTAGCAGAAAGCGTTACCTCCATTTTCATTGGCCGTTTTTCCTCAGACTAGGAGTGAGTCTGCCTCTTGGCTCTTTGTCATGAGGTAAACCTTAACAGACATAGCTGTCAGCTGGCGTTAAGGCCCTTGATGGCAGCGCTGTCATGCTGCGCTGCTCCAATGGAATGCTAGCTTGGCAGTGGTGAGGCCGCTTATCTAGTTTCATTGCGTTTAGCCGGCTGATTGTTAAGCTCAGTAGTTTTGCTTGTACCGACTGGCATAGGTGCTGATTTAGCCGACCTCACAGTCGGAAACATCACAAACCAATGGTGGCATTACCCTGTAATACCTAACATGAGGCCAAGTGACAATTGTCCGTTTGACTTTCCATCCTTGAAGACCACCAGCCCCCTCATTCTCTTCGCATCGGACTTAGCCGCATCCATTCACTTCTCTAGCCGGCCACGTTAAATACATAACTTCGAACGGGGAGTTGGGAAGATGACATCGAGGACTAAAAGCTCGGTTTCCAATCGCGTTCTCTTGACAACTAATAACATTTCTGGATTACATGCTTGCATCTTGCTCTCTCTTACTCCCTCTCTCTCGGCGAAATTTTACGGTCAACCGTTGCCAAGCGACTGAAGAAATGGTCCCATCGAGACAGAATGCATTGGAGCAGTCGGTACATGTAAAAAAGAGAAAATTCCACCATGATAGCTTGTTCTATAAAGCAACTAGAGAAATGTTGTCGAACTTCTAAAAGAACACGGGATCCGCGGCCAGATGCGAGTTGAGCAGTTGAGATGGTTCTGGGACCAGTTTCGGTGATGGAGCAGCTTCTGCTGTGTTTCGAAATGGTGCCCGGGGCTTATTCAAAGTTTATACTAAAAACAAAGCCGTCAGACTTTTAATTTTTCCATTGTCACGGTGTGTCCAATTTTATAATGCGGCGAACTATTCTCTGATTATTAGCACATGGCATAATTCCTGCGTTAACTTGAAAACTTACAACGACACACGCTTGTAGCGCCTGCCTTCAATGATAATAATCCGGGTGATGTTGGATATGTCGATTGTAGAAACATTGTGTTCGCCGATGCTCACCTCCAGACAATCGCGGTCCACGAGGTTCACCCGGTCCCCGTTGTAGTTAATGTAGTTGCAACCTTGGCAGATTAGAGGACACCAGCATCATAAAATTTCATCAGCGAAACCCTACCACATATGTATGATTACTCGAAAGATGGTCGCATAACAGAGTCAATCCGAGGGTTGGTCCGACCTGCCGAAGTTGCCGCTGGTCTCTTTCGAGTTTGCGAAAAACTACAAACTACCCTACCACAAGCGGTGTTGGGGGAGCAATTTACTTGGTTTTTGTCGAATAGTCTGTTTGCTACTTAAATCCAGTCTTAATTCCTACCAGGTACTCACTCTAAGCGGTCGCTATTGTCATTGGGAAGAAGGCAACGTAGTCTGTTCTTGGTGGTTTTTCGCACAAGTCGAGGGGAGCAATTTGCGCTTCGGATAGCTCTCTTGTCCGAGTTAATTTTACAGCCTTTCCGGTGAATTGGCCAGAAGCCATCTCCGTTTGCGTGAGAGGGAGGAGGGCGTGTCTTTTACGCGCGAGGCGGGCTAGATCGTGGGAGACCTGTGTTACTTTATACACTCCTTTCTGACATGGCGGTATTCCGCCTGATCCACGCGTACTGGAACATGCTGCTGGTTCGCACATTCGGAATCCGACCACACCTGCGATGCCAGTGTTTGTTAGTTTGACACCCATGTCACATCCAGTAGCCTCTGCAACCTGACTCCTAGCTCCAAGTTATCAATTATCAAGGTCACGACTCTGAGGGTCGCCATGATAGTTTAAATTTGCTCTAATTTTCCTGCAGCATTAGGGTGGCACCATTTCTTTCCTTCAGTTCACACTGTTTTCCACTGGCCATAATTGGCCAAGACAAGCCGGCTGGATCCACTCTTAGTGTTCACTTTAGAAAATAAACGAGGGTTCGATGGCAGTTAAGTCCCCACCAGGTCTGTGGCGCGTTGCGGATTTGACGCCGCAGAGCCCCACGTCGTGGTCGTCATGTCTGCACTGACCAGTAACGTTCATTCGTAATGCAAAGCTAGTTGGCTGATCGATCGGGAATATTTAAGATCATGTAAATCCGGTCGTCACGGGTCTGATTGTGAGATGGGACATACTCGTTTCCTTTTGCTTGTCTAAGTGGCAATGCAGAAGAAATACCGGCATGAAAGTTGCACAGGAAGTGACACAACTACGACGCCCTAGGGTTAGGACATTAGACGGATGACTACCTGCTAATACGGGATTCTACGGTGCTGACTCTAACCTAGACAGTTGTCCAAAAACGCCTATACATGAAGGTACTGCCCATCAAATCTTTCAAAAAACTTAAGAAAATCTTTTTTCTGCTCACCGTTTTCGTCGGTTTCAATTTCACACAGTCCCATGGCTGCGTTTAGAACACCAACGTGAAACAAGTTAACGAGGAGAGGAATGATCCAGCGCCGCATCTCTACCGAGTCTTCTAAATTTTGGCGTTTTTCACACCTGGCTGCCTATTTATGCAGTTTGGAACAACGTGCAGTGGCAGGTTGACTTTCCAAGTTCCGTGCGCGCTAGTGCAGGGGTGGTCTCATTGGCACCTGACTAGGGTGTGCTGCCGTTTGAGCAACAATTATATACCGACGTCTGTCGCATAATGAGGCGAAATGGAGATGGATATCCTCTGTCCGCCACTCACAGAGAATAGCTTCAAGGGAATTTTTGGTAACTCTTTGGAAGTGATCTAGTCATTACTGCTTGTACTAGGGGTGCTGTCATTAAAGCAGAAGATCCCTAAGTTAAGAGAAAATTCTACCAAGCAAGAAACATACGAACAAAACCTTGCATGTCCACTACTCACTAGCGTGTTTTGGAGATTGTTTTAGCCGAATCGGCAGTATTTCAACAATTCAGTGAGTCTTGTAATATGCGTAATTAACAAGATCGATAACTGTGCTCCGATAGGTGTGCAATAATAGAATTACTGTACAGATAACACCTGACTTCGTTACCAGCGCAGCCTAGACGTACTTATTTGATTGGTCAGGGCGTGTATCGGTTGCGGACCAATGGGCATCAATAGCAGGCTAATATCCAATTCAAGGGAGACACGCGACTGTTTCCTGCGTCGCGTTCGTTCAGACCCCAAGTTTAGAAATCGGTTTGGGTTAAGATTGGGCAGTTCGTAGTAGTGACCTATTTTACTAATTTCTCGCGAATGCTCATTTTTTCCTTTTTTAAATAGATGGATGAAGGACTTACCTCGACACTACTAGGAAACGCTTGGCTTGACCGTGGCAGGTTGTGCATATGTAAACGTCAAGTACGAGTCAAGCATCGGTTAGGCAGAGGACGAAATAGGTCGCGTGCGAGAAAGTTACCCAGTCGTTCACCGCAGGTGGAGGTTGCGCTTACGGGGCAGTGGGAAACCAGCCAACATTTCTATGAGGGCAACAACAATAGAAACAGGACTGTCGATCGCTCAGACGACAGCTCTAGTACAATCGAATAGCATTTGGCATTTACTTACTAATGTGTTTTCGGGTGTGGATTTGAAGCACCAAGAAGAAGGGTGTGTGAGTCACCAAAAAGCCCACTTTGCTCTGTGCAGAAGCCGAAGAACGTGAACTCAGTAATGTGCGGTTGGGAGGTGAGGCGTCCACGTTGCGCGAATCTGAGTCGGGTCGAAGGTCCTCCTAAACCATGATCAGAGGATTCCGCTTAGTGTCCTGTAATTGGTTGGCGAGTAGTGCAAACAGATACGGACGCGCTAACGTGTGAAGGTCTGTAGACCAGACCAAAGAGGTCTCTTCGCGCCTGGCGTCCGAGGTGAGCAAGACATGTAGGGGTATGATTCATCACAACCCTATCCGAGAGCTAGCTCTCCCGTGAGCGTCATTTGGATTATTGTCTGAGTGGGGATTGGATATGCAGACCCACTGAGAAAGTAGATCCCAGGAACTTCTGTAATACGGGAAAGATATTAATATCTGTTTCGTCAGCAGGGCGAACAGAGGCGGCAATTAACTGGATCTGCGGAAGGCATTGAGGAAACTTTCTCCTACCAAATGTTTGTTTTATTACTCCAGCGAAGTACCTAGGCGGATTGCTCAATGTAGATGATGCACATCAGAGCATGTGAACGGACGGGAAAAGGTCATCCAAGTTTATTGGTTAAAAAGGCCAGTTTGGGTGAGACATAATTTGCGACTACGACCCTAGCCCTTTCCCTAACTGTAAACTTTAACCTAACCTTACCCTTACACTTGATCGTCTTAAGCGTAACCAGAAGTGTAGCCCTAGTATAACATGTTCACCAGAATCCACTAAGTAGACATGTTATGGTAATAGGGACATATGCTTACATATCTAGCTGTCATCGTTTTCTGTTTAAAAACCAAATGCCAATGAATTACGGCTTATGTCAATTGTCTGGTGTACAAGACGCAGACGTGAGGGCTCAACCACTTCCACCTCAGCTGTCTTCAACGGATACTAAAGCTGGGGTGGCAGAACCGGATCCCGGACACGGACGTACTGGAACGGACGGCAACCCTCAGTATGTACGCCATGCGGAGGCATTTGCAGCTGCGCTGGAGCGTCCAACTCGTGCGGATTTACGACGAGCGGCTACCAAAACGGCTCTTCTATGGTGATGTCGCCACGGGTTCCCGCCGACAAGGTTAAGTCTAGCGATACAAGGATACACTTAAGACTTCCCTGAGGCGTCTGCAGATGAAGCCGGCCAACCGAGAAGACCTCGCCTGGGACCGACCGACCTAGAGGTGAAATTGAATACAAACGCAGCAATCTACTAAGCCAGCCGCGTCAGCTACGCCAAAGCCAAACGCTTAACTGCATTCAACCTGCTCACGATGCCAGCGGACATTCTGAGCGCCAATCGGTTTTACTGAACACCTCCGGACCAACTGCAACACCCGGACGACATCATACGATGTCTTCCCGTCCACCTCTGCCTCGCCCCCTCGCTGACAATTAGCACTAACCGCACTGTTGGACCTCCACTGCCATCCACCTCCATCGTCCCAACATTTGCTGCGACGGCCCTTGCACCCACCACCACTGCATACAATCCTGACACGCCGATAACTACCAACCTTAACAATGCCAACACCAGTGATGAGGACTCGGCCCAAACCTGTCCTCATTGCAATTGAACCTTCACCTCCCACATCGGCCCCATAAATCGCTTGCGAATCCGTCGCACAGAAACTGATAAACCAGCGCCTGGAGCGCCCATACGAACTCGCCGCATCCGTCTTCATAGTCCACATTGCCTCACACATTCAATCGCCGCATGGGCCTACTAGGTCACATGCGTATCCACGACAGTGGAGTTCACCTCAGTCTTGACACACCTAGCACATCTTACATATCCATCATGCCTAGACCAACCCACGCCCTGCCACACAGCGTGCCCACCACCAGCAGCTTCACTACCGCCATCATCACTAGAACTGACACTTACACCGCCGACCTATTTTGTCCACACTTTCTCCGCACATTCACCTCACACATCGGCCTGGTCGGTCACTTGTGAATCCATCGCATAGAGGTTGGCGAATCAGTGCCTGGAGCACCAACATACACATGCCGTATTCGCCTCAGCCGCCCTCACGACACCTGAACATCCACTCACCGCATGGGCCTAACAGGACACATTCGCATTAACGAAAACTCGCGGTAGACAACCGCTGGCCACACCAAACCATCACATCTCCCCCCACAAACACCCGCACCACGCAACACCATCACCCTCCACAAGTATTCAGTTGCCACCCCCACGCATGTGGGAAGTGTGTTTCTCGGCCCCGTCTCCATGCTGCTCTTCTGCAGTGTGTATGATCCGAGTCTGAAACTGTCACGTTGCGTCGAACGCCGAACCTTGGAAGGCTGCCGACTGACAACCCAACTCAGTCCACGCAGTCTGCCCAGTTATGTGTGAGTGTGTGTGCGTTCGTGTGGAGGGGCGGACTGGTAGGCTGAGAGCCAGGCTGTCACAGGCTCTCACGCATGTGAGGAGTGCGTGCGCGCGCTTTATGGGTGGTGCCTCTCAGCCAATGACTGTTTGACCACCCAGCCTTGAAGAGTGACGGCCAAGGCAAATGCAAGGACCACGTGTCACCCTTCTGTGCCTTGTATCACCTATGTCAGGATCAGCAAACGCAGTCTGGTGCGTGCTGGCAGTTCTTTGCATCTGGTTCCCTGCCGGTAGATGCGCTTGCGTCCCCGCCGGGTATGCAGGTCGTGAGCATCGCTGCCCAGTCATCGTCGTCTTTTTGCTGTTGTTGTTGTTGATGATGATGATGATGACGATGATGATGATGATGATGATGATGATGATGATGATGATGATGATGATGATGATGATGATGATGATGATGATGATGATGATGATATTGGTCGAAATCCTCGTCAATCGTTGTGTGGAGCAAGGGGTGTGACGGTACGCCCAGGTGCGGGTTTGGTCGCGCCAGCCACCTGCGTCTTCTCCCGCTTACGGTCTTCTTTGACCATGCCTTGGCACCTGGCGCAGGTGGGGAGTTAAAGAAGAATGCGGCAGATACTGTGCAAGTCTATCACCACTATAAAGTAATCTACGCGCATGTCACCGTGCCTGCTCTCACCCTGCCGTACAAAACACGGTGGACATTGTCGGCAACGACGGTCGAACTGTCATGTCATTCGTCTGGTATATTTCGAGTGCACATTGGGATGTCCCACATCAGAGGGTTTTGTGTGCACCACGGGCATTTCAGCCGCTCCGACTACAAATATTCTCGTTTTGCGGGTCAGAAAACAATGACTGTCGATTAATTTTCTCATACGCCAGGCGTGCCGGCAGTAGCTCAGAGATACAGAGCCTTTGCGCAAATTCAGAAAATTAGTGTTTCGTTCCCACTCCATAGCAAACCTTACTGAGCCTATAAGTCCCCTGGTCCCCTTGTTCTGTCACATTAAGCTGTTCATTTAAACAACTAAAAAGAAACCATAAAATTATCTGCAGATGATACCTACGTTATGAGCCAAGCCCACGCAACTGGCCCCGGGGCTTGCATCGACAGTTAACAATAATTGTGTGTCGGAGATACTTGAAATTTATCGCCAGCCGTGTCGTCATTGCAGCTTATTATTTGATGGTTCAGAATGTGGAGAACGGGCAACACCTCAGCATCGCAAATCCGACTTCTACTAGTTGCAGTTGGGCCGACATCAGCACCTGCTACTGAAGATCTTGTTATTCATTGCAGTCGATGAAAGCGCGCACCTACAGTGTGCCACCGTTGGTTGTGTTGTCGTCCTGGATTATCGCTCCGTCCGGATGGTCTTATAGCTGGTAAGGATTAACAGCCAATAACTCCACGAAACTTCAGAATACGTTCTTATTAAGTAAGCTGGGTGTTTTAGCGTCATTCTTAACTTTCACACAGAGTTTAGGTTAGTGGAATAAGCATTGCGGTAACTGAAGGCGTATCCAAGGCCTGATCATTGCGTCCCTCATATCGGATTGCGGCTAGGAGGAGAATTGTATTTTGTACAGTATGAAGGAAGTTTAGATAGGGTGTGCTGGCGGATACACGTGATGCTCATGTCCACCCGTTGTGCGAAAACGTGAGTGTGTTGTGCGGGGCAAGATTGTGTGTGACACGCGTGGCCAAGCTGTCCTATTTCTGTCGGCCATTGCGCCCAATATCTGCATCAGGTGATTAACAGGCTCGACCAGTTGGCTGGCGCACTGGAGAAGGAAAAGAGCGTCGGCGACCCTGGGGTCTGCAGTCACAGGGCACGTTAGCGCATTCCTCACTATGATAAACCTTTCGCGCCCGAGTCTATCGCGACGCGCTAAATGTCGTGGCCTGACGGCTGACCAACTGACGGTAGAACTCAGGCCTCGCAGTCAGCCTTGCGTGTGCTTGTGTAGAGCGACCGAGTGGTGGACTGTGTCAGGCTCAAGGGCTCCTGTATTACATGGCCTCCAAGGCACTCTCGCGCATTTTAGCTCCAAGCCGCCCGACCCTTTCTGTTCAAACCTGTTTTTTGACAGATGTTGAATAGTTTATTTGACCTAACTGTGAAAAAGTCAGCTGCCTCGATAGGACTTGAATCCACGACAGCGAAAACAGGGCTTGAGCACAGTCAATGCTCTAAGTAACTGAATTACGAGGCTCCACAAGGAACCGTGGCTTTAATCGCATTCGGGTTAATCGACCTGCATGGACTGTTGTGCGCTGGCCAGGTCGCGTGCAGCCCGCGCAGAACGACAATTCAGGCTGTCAGCCACGTGTTTCCAATCCCTACATCAGATGACTGGCCGGTTCGGACAGGGGACTAATGCCTGGGGTCCGGGGAGAACGAATGCGCTTGACTCTGGGGACTGCGTCCCTGTAGTGGCCCTGCCCCGGACACCTTTCGCGCCTACGTGTGCGCCCCTACCAGTAGCGGTCTGGTTCTCAGCCCGTCGCAACTATCCAAACGGACCAGTCATCTTCAAGAACACCCTTGCTCTGCCTCTGGATGCCCTCTCGCGGCGCTGGGCGCGTTCTCTCGCTCGGCTGCCAACACGCTCTCCAATCTTTCTGCACAGAATACAGTATCCTCTCAACCGGCGTCCAACATCTCTATTTTCGGGGCCGGGCCTGACGGTTGCAGTGGCTAGGGTCTTCCCATGGCTTAGGCCGCCGCGACATCCACACGACACGCAGCGAAAGCGTGTACAAACATTCTGGTGCACTCTTAAACTATCACGATGAGCTAAAAGCCATGACTTGGACGGCCGCCAACCTGATGGGCTAAGTCAGGGCGGAGAGTCAGGCTGCAATGGTTCCGGCTCTGTATTGTGCTCCCGCTGATTTGTGGTCCGAGTCGTCCATTTGTAGTTTTGGCAAAAATGTGATCCCTTGTACGCGAACCAGGCGCGCGTGCACGCGTAGATGGGGGCTGCTTAGCTTTGTGAGCCACTACGTCCTATTCCGCCTCCGGTCTTCTTGGCTCTGGGCTCAGATGGATGAGAGAGGAGGCAGTGCGGTAAATGGCACGCAATGCTACTATCATTGCAAAGTAATTCGCGTGCAAGTCACTGTCCCTGTGCTTACCTCACTGTGGGGCACGGTAGGTATCGGTGGTAGCGATGATCGAACTGTCATTGCAGAAGCATATGTGTGGGCCAGTCCGAAGAAATTACCGTGCTTCGTTGGTCACAAGTAGACGCCTGTGTTCAATTGGCAGTATAGAATGGCATTCTGGCCAGAGAGCGAGTTTTAACGCTGCATGGGCGAGTCAACGCAAATGGCTTGTTAAGGCAGGACTTTAACGCACCGCTGTACGAGAATCTACCCACTGCGATGGTGGAGGCTCCAATCTGTTCAAAAAATGCGAATCTTAGAACGGTGGCATCTATGCTTTTTCTACTTCGTTAATTTCATCTGATCCAGCCGTTATAGCCCGAAATTATCGCAACCATATGCGAGGAAACTGATGTTCCCTGGTCGTGTAACGGTTCCTCAGAACAAGATCAGCCGGGCAGCAGCGGTCCCTACTCCGCCGGGCTCTCGCTCTGTAACTCACGAACGCGCTAATTTGTGGCAGCTAAGAGTGGAGGCTCAGAATTAGAGGTGGCTAGATATTCAAAGGCCTGTGTAAAAGGCCTTTGCTGACTAGGCCATTTTCTGGAATCCTGCGCGCATTGCTTCATTCACACGACTTAAAGCACACCAGCCAAGATAAAAACGAGAGAGGAGTACCCTTGTCATCTTAAGTTAACTGCAAGTTTCACGTCAGACTAGTAAAAATGCCTTGTACTACTCCCTGAAAACAAACCAACATGGCCGCCGACCTTACCTATGCTAGCGGTGCATGACGATGCTCTCGGCACAGGATTTTATGCAAGTGTGCGGACTAATGAAGTTATCACGCCTCAATGTGATAAGCAATTGAATGCATGCAGGTAGTGTAGGCCTAATCATCTGCTGATGCCGTTTTACGCGGTCCAGGCACGAGAGTGACGGTCTGCCAAAATTATGTACTCTATGATTCGGACCTTACTCGACTGATCCTCCCAATCTGGGATTCGTGTCCAACAGGCACGTCAATTCAGTGCTCACAGTATGACACTGGACGTCTGCACCGGACGACATAAAGAAGTCTCAGGGCTTTTGTGCCACTCAGACTGGCGCTTCAACGGTAATTCTCGTGTATCCTGAATCCGGATGACGATCGAATGAAATGCATACCCGGCGTTGATGGAGTCACACTTTCGGCACCCATTTTTGCCTTCTGTACGGTCTACACGCCCATTCCCCACCTTAAAGGTGCTGACAGCAATTTATTAATCACGTTGAGACGACAAGTGCGGGATCCCACCACATATGTTATAAGCGCCAAGTGTGCTCTATGACTCAATGTGATAAGCAAATCTCAAGCTTAAGCTGGAACGCCTATCAGTGATGCTGGCGTGGCCACGGCATCATGAACCAAAGCGGTTCATGCCAGGCGCTTAGCTATCGTTGTCATGTGGGCATTCCACTCTAAAAACATTGAAAACTGTTATCTTGTTGTGACCAAGCGGTGTGAGTGTGTATTTCTGTACTCAGAACGCTACTATCGTCGGGTCAGATCCCAAGTGGAACGAAGAAGACAGAAGGAACCAGTTTGAGGGGTTTATTGTGCACAGAACCCGGAGTTGCCCTCTCAGGCGGCAGCGGCCACTGGCGAGGCCAGGGCTGGTGTTGACTGCGTTCAATCATGCCTGAGGGACCTTGAGATAGTGGTGGCAGCCGCTTTTGTTGGCTCGTGGGCCAAGCTCAAGTGGTGTCCAGTCAGTGTGTGTGGCATTTGCCGAGGGATGGTGCCCCAGTGGCTTAGGTTGCGGTTGCAGGTGGGAGGTGCGTTCAAGTGGCCGCATGGGCAGCTGCGGCTATGCGGACACAGGTATGCCCGAGCTGTTGGTCGTGACTTCAGGCCAGCGGGTCTGGAACGGCCCACTGCAAAAGGGTGGATGACAATTAGGCAGCGAGGTCTTGAACAATGACGCCAGACCGGTCATGGTGGCTGCCCACTACAATCTCTCCAGACCTGACTTAACCACTTCTGCCGACTTTGTCATTGACCCACACTGGCGGCCACGCCAATGAGAAGGGGGAATTCGGAGAAATGATGTCGTGGATGAGTTCCATTTCGGTTGACGCAGAGCGCGACCAGACCCACTGCGACGGCTGCCTTAACGTGTAACATCAGCAGTGGGCGCTTCCGACTGGTAATTCAGTTCCAATTCCGAGACGTGATGTGAGAAGTAAAGCTTCATTATGCCCTGGAGGCAACAGTTGAGAAACATGATGCGGCAGCTTAAGCATAAGCAGACTCTAGCCACTGCGATCTTCAGGTCCGGTCCCGAACATAAAGAGGTGTTGGACGCCGGTTGAGAAGATACTGTATTCGGTGTAAAAAAATCGATAACCGGCTAGAATAAGTTGTTGGCCGGACGAGTGAACGCGCCCAGCGCCGTGAAATCGGCGCCCCGAGTGATGGTGGGTATGCGTCACAGCGTCTTGAGCGAGAGGACGCCTGAGTTGGCCTTGAACATGATTGGCTGGTTTGGATAGCCGTGATTGGTCGAGAACCAGACTGCCAGCGTTGCGCGCGTGCAAGTACTCGCAAGGGGCGGGGCGTTGCAACAGGCGCCCGGAGTGGTGTAACGGTCGAAAGAGTTGAGCGTAGTACACATGAGATGCCGTGAAGCACTGGGAGTGATTCTTGGCTTAGAACAAGCTGAATGGAATTGTTAAACATACCAAAGCACACCTCCACATGACAGGGTAGAATAAGGATTTAGCTAGTGCAAATGTATACATCACGGGGAGTGATCTGCCTGGATGGTATGGCGACACTAACCTACCTGCCAAAAAGCGGTGAGGAACGCAGCGCTGTGGGAAACTGCATGGGAGGGCTGTGGGAGGTGCCGACGTAGTGTGTGTATATGAGTTGCGGGGAGATGCTCGACGGTAGAGATGGAGGGCTGCCGGATATTTTCATTGACACGCAGTTACACCATCACCATCGCAGATCCGCTCGGGAAGTGTCTTTTCCTCCAAACATATCCGTACAGTTTGTTGACCGTTACAGTAAGGCCACTACCGGCACATCAATCTTTCTCGAATCAGCGGCGTGTGCCTACAAGGTTTTGCAGCCACTGGAATCTGCCTTCTACTGAATCCCGAGGAAGTCGACAGGCACTTGCTGGGTGGAAAAGATACGGCCTGTGCGAGTTGTATGAGCCGGACTATCGACTCCTGATAGAGATCTATTGGTTGTGCTGACGATTCAAGGTAACCAAAAGGCTAACTTAACGAGATCGAAATCCCATGGGCACTGTTTCGATTTCCCACTGAAGCTGTGGAACGGAAGGACTTGCCAGACGAAGCAGCTTCGTTAGCACGACCAAGGGCTTACACAAGAGCGTCTTACTCGACTCCAGCGTCCCTTGTATCGTGGAGCGTCGGGAGCAGAAGTAGTTCTGTTGCATATTCAAGTTCATAAGCTTACAGGACCTCAGCATTGAAGTTGAAGTATACACCCTCCTCTCGATAACACGACGACAAAAGTCCATCATTACTTCGACTAACAGCTTCCATCATTCTACTGAAAAATGTCCATCATGTCAATTCGACCGTCGCGAATGATAGTGACCACCATGTGTCCCGAAGCATGGCAGACGCGGAATGACGGCTTGCGGAGCATCTACCGCATTCGCTCCCGCCTCACCCTCCTAAACTTGGTGACACTGGGTGCAATGACTGA